TTTGATCCCTTTTGCTGATATTGAGCTCCTTCACTTCTCTCTCAACCACTGTGATGCATATGTTAACAAAGAATGGAATAGAGGGTAAACGTGAGGGGCATAAAGAGGGCTTGTGCGGAGTATAAACACCGGAATAGACTGATTGCACCGAATGGCCTGCTTCTATGTTGTATTACTCAATGTAACTCTATGTGAGACATTCAGCAGCACAGTGCTACTGGATTCATTCCAGGAATTTAGAGACAGAGTTCTGAGGTAAGACTGGCCATCCTCTCCCTCTTAGTAATAATTCTTGCATTCAACACAGGTCAGTTTGGCGCGGTTGAGATGAACAAAGGAAAACAAGAGGAAGTCGCTAACAGCATTCCCAATTCCTTTTGCATTTATGATAATAATAATCCTAGTCTGTGTCAAGGTATATATTCTGATATTGTATATCATTCTGTTTGCCTACCCCTCTTAATCCCAACCCACACATATGTATACAAACACACTCATACGCTCACACACACACACACACATCTCTCCCATACCTTTCTCTTCCTTTTGCCCTCACACAATGATAAAAAGAATTTTCTCTTCCCCAAAACATTCTTGAACAAAGGACAAAAAATCCAAAACTCTTGAGAATATTTACCTGCTTGAGTTGAATGGATTTGTGTGCATGCGTTACTTCCATTTCAGCTCTTTAATTATTCTCTGAGGATTATATTAAACTGTATATTTTACCAGATGTTATTACCGAGTTCCTGAGAGCCGGCGAGTGAGCAATGAATATGTTTACACTCTTTGACTTTGGTCCCTCCATTGTACTTCCAAAATTATTGGTCACTTCCATGAGAGCACTTTATTCTTTGATCTTCCTGTCACCTCCTTTATTCACCCTGACATCCTGTCTCATACATACTCGCCAGGTTCAGAAGGACTTACGTTTTAGTTTCACTTTTCAAAGTCGTTGTAAGAAAAACCCATCACTGGACTTGGTATGGGTTCCAATCCCCAATCAATGCTGAGTTCCTGATTTGAGTTGAGTTGGGGTCAAGCCTACAAATTGACTTCAGCGCCTCCATGTTGGGAGAGATGAAAAATCAGTCAGGGTTCCTGCCTCTGATCACAATCTAGTGCCTACCTACTGGAATGTCAAATAAAGGCAGTATTGGGCTGTGATGCATCCTGTCCCCCACCCCGTTTGTCCTTCATCTCCTCTCCTAGACATCCTCTCCTTGACATCCCTGTCCAGCCTCACGCAGGAGGGATGCTCACTCAGGGGGTTAACGCAGTCAGCAGTTAGGAGTAGGAGAGAAATGAAAGAAACTTGAGATTATTGGGAAGTTTAATTGGTTGCTCTGCGCCTCTCGTTCCCAATGCAGCGTTCTCTTAGTGAATAATATATATCCTTGTATTTGATACAGCGCCTATCACATCGGGAGGGCATCTCACGGGATTTATTGTAAAGTATAGCAATTGCGTTTTTATCAGGTGAATTTACTCAATTGAGGAACATAGGCTTAAAAGGGGCAATTAAGCAAAGGTGCAAATTATATTAATAAGCAAACCATCAAAATACACAGTCACTACACTTCGCAGTTGGTATGGGTTTTAGATGTTTTGACGACGTGATAAGGAGCTATATCAAATGCAAGGATTATTATTTTATTTAATTAACGAGGAATGAAGCATGGCTTATCTGGATCCAAACCCTCCCCACCCCTCCCTTCTCTCCACACCCCCCTCCCCCACCCACCCCCCACCCCCCACCCCCACCCCATCGCCAAACAAATCAACGGTCTTAACAAGGCTTTGCACAAAGTCAGTGTCTCTTTAATAAGTACAGGTTTGCATAGCAAGTCTAGACCTAAGAGTGAAAAACCTGCTTGGAATTATTAATACTGCAACCACAGCAGATCAAAAGGAAAGCTGCCGCTCTCACAGCAGATGAGGATGAGGATGGGAGATGGAGCTCTTCCCTGAGCTGGGTTCAAAGCACATCAGGAAGGTAGTTTCACACTGCATCTCGCCTGGCTAATGCAGTAATGGTGCATGAGGTGCCTGAAGCTGTAACTAGTTTGCAAGGAGGAGGAATCCTTTCGTTCCTTTGTCCTCGCCAACACAAAGTGCTCACGCACGCAAAAGCGCTCACGGTTAAGCACACACATGCGTGTGCAAACGCACGCGCGTGTTAAATGCATTCCTCCTCCCCAACCGTTTGTGCAAAGGCACCCTGGCAAACATGCAAAGGAACGCTTCCACCCTGCAAACAAAAACCAACACACACGGATGCGCAGAAAGCCACACACACACAAGCGTGTCAATAAGCCACGCAAGCAAACACCCGGTCCCCAAAACAGAAACGCACACGCAAACATGTGCTCACGTGCCAACACTGAGCGATGTGCAAACCCAAACGTCCGCTCATTATACAGAAACAGTTATTGCTAATAATTGGGAGGTGTACGAGAGAGAAATGGAGCTGTGAGAGGGTGAGGTGCTACAGGCACTTCCAGCTCCCAAAGCTCTCGATTGTGAAACCTGACAATACCCGGGTAAAACACATCACATCACATGGCTTTGTGTCAATGAGGTCAAACCTCTTCCCCCGCAATCCGCCTCCACCGAGAGGGGAATCTGCATCAAGACTCCGAAGGAAAATGAAACAACTTTACAGTATATCCTGTGAAGCTATGGTTAGAGTCCACGCCTCGCAAGCGTGTAGACCCGGGTACGATTCCAGGGTGGGGCGAAACCTTAGGCAAGTTTTTTTACTCCACCCACCTCTGTTTACCTAGAGTTAAGTAGGAACCCGGTTGTTAGTCGATTGGCGTATTGCTTTCCAGAAATAATAATCCCTCAAAAAAAATTGGTCACTCAATCCACAACTGTGGGACACTTCTTCCACGTTTCGCCCACAAAATACACAGTCAATCCACTTTACAATATATTCTGCAAAGCGCTTTGAGACGTTTCAACGACGTGATAAGGCGCTATTATCAAATCCAGGTATATATTAACTAACTCACTCACTGCCACTCAGTGCCTTGAGACACAACGATTCGATAAGGCACAGCACACAGCCAACATCAGACTATTAGAAGAAAGATTTATACTTGGGTTATACTCACAGGACTAGCAGTCACCACTTCAGGGGGAAAAAAAACATATGATTGGAAAAAGCAATGAATGCCTGCATGCATCTGTGTAATAATTGCATGGTAGACTACTTTCCCTCCCTCCACCTTCTGCCAGTTACCTGGGAGCTGGGTTGAAGGCTGTGTTAGAACATAGTCTCCTCACCCCTCAAAACCTGCTTCCAAAGTCAGCACAGATATCCAAGCATAAAGCGTTAGACTGACTGCTGGCTTGGCACTGGGCTATATATCTATAAGCACAGCCCCCAGTGATCTTGTCTCGCTTCAACAACAAAAAATCCTCCAGCATTAGACAGAATTCTTGTCCAGAGAGACTGAGGAGCATTGTGAAGGGTGGAGTGATGTGGTTTGATGGGGGGGGGGGGGGGCATAGTCAGGGGTAACCTGGAGCCAACTGTGTGGTGCATTTGACCTGTGCTGCACCTGATCTCTCAGTGTGTTTGTTCCTGGCAAAGAAATGTGAAGGGAGTCGCAATTTCCTGACACAGTATTTCGTATTGAGAGAATTTAAAAAAAAATACAATCGACAAATACTGTGGAATTGTAGCTCAGCTGCCAACTGCTTGGTTCACTTTGCAATTAAAGAGTTAAAGCTCTCTGTCTCTGATTCTCACACATACCCCTCTTCCTCTCACACATTCCCTTCTTTCTCTTCGTCTAACACCTTCTCCCCCCACCCCACTCCCTCTCTCTCTCTCTCTCACTCACGTTTTCCTCTCTCTTTCTCTCTCACACGTTTTCCTTCTATCACTTACACACTCTCCTCTTTCTCCCTCACTCACACTGGTCCCCTCTTCTCTCTCACCCATTCCCCTTTGTTCCACAATATACCCCTCTGTGCTACAGCATCTCTCTTTGTCTCAAATGCCTCCCTGAACCTTCTCATATTTATATATGAATGCAATGCCTCCCTTTAACCTTTTCATACTTATTTTCCCAAACGTATTAATCCAACAGCCTCAACTCACCTCTCTCTCTCCCTCCACCTTTGTCTCTGTCCCTTCATCCTTTACACGTTTCCCACTCTGTGTGTGTGTGTGTGTGTGTGTGTGTGTGTGTTTTGCCTACAAATTATCAGTATATTCCATCAAGGTTCAGATCTAGAAATCGATCGCACATGAACCAGACATCTAACATCAGTCCCAAATCTCCCACTGTCACACACACTCAGACACACAGATACAGACACACACACACACACACACACCTCTCACGTATGAAGTACATGGAAACATATATACGGTAGTTGGGATTCACAGAACTGCACTCACTGCGAGAATAAGTGCGACAGACACCAAATTCATTGAAATGCACAGTAGTTTGCTTCTAAAAAGAGCAATTCACTCAAAATATATGATACTAAGATTTGGTCAGTGACAACCCCCAAGTAAAACTGTGCATCCAGCACAGTGCTGTACAAATGGGTGAGACAATTTGCACCAAGTTTCATTCTCTTTCTCTCTCTCTCTCTATCACTATCTCTCCTCCAAACCACTATAGATACCACCCGTTGTGTCAGAATCTGATTGAAAAATTTGTAATCGACAAATAGCACTATCGGAAATCAATCGATTGGGAAATATAACGGTTGCAAGATCGAAATTACCTCTCCCCACCACCACCCACCCCCTCCCACCCAGAAAAACCATGTCCATTTCAATTGAACATTGATATAAACTCTGGGGGACACAAATAAAAGATCTCTCAACCCAACCCCCCAACCCCCCCCCCCCCCAACACACACAAATAATAATAAATCAAATCTCAGAAAATATAACGAAATCAAAGATGAAATACGATGCAATAACAGTTTAAAATATATATTATATGTATATATATATAAAGCACATTTACCAGTTTTACTCTGCAAATCGGCTTCTCGGTTCTCAGGTTCGATTCATCAATGTATTTGAGTCGCAGGTGGTTTGGAAATCAAATCTGAGATGCAGATACATAGAGAGTAAAACAAGATGAGAGATTGCATTGGGGGAGATATCTCCTTCGCCCTCCCCACACTCCCACCCACCCACCCCCCCACCCACCCCAATTTTTTTTGGGAGAGAGAGGAAAAAATAATTCTTTATGTAGGAAAAAGATCAACGGTGAAAGGTACAATTGATGCAGTTATTGTGGGGGCGTTAAAGTCTCTTAACTGGAGCTGGAGAGGAGAGAAAGGGGGAAAAAATGGGAATTTCGGATCAGTTGCAGATGATGTGGGAATCTGCTTAGATTGAAATCCACCCTGAGGGTGAGTGTGAGTGAGTGAGTGTGTGTGAGTGAGTGAGTGAGTGAGTGTGAGTGTGTGCAGTGGAGCAAAGACATCAAAACCCACACAGCTGAGCAAAAACGCACCTCACCTAATTCCACGTCCTGTCAGTCAGTCTCCTCCTCCTCCTCCTCCTCTCCTCTCCTCCTCCTCCTCCCAAATAAAGTGTGTGTCTTCTGCAATTATTAGGGATTTTTTTTCCTAAATTTTCCGGCTGATCGGTTGCATTGCCTTTCCCCTCCTCTGCTTTGCAAAGCCTCTGCTGGAGCTTGACCACCCAAACGCACAGAAACGCCACTAGAACACATTTGGGTGAAATTGTAGCAGCAGAGAACACATAAAAGGAGAGAGAGAAAAGGTGCCAATATGCGGCTGCGTCGCTGAAAGATCTCTCTGTCTCTCTCTCTCAATCATTAAACGTGTCTTTTCCTGTAACTTTCAACCCAGATCTCTCTCTCTCTCTCTCACATTCTGTTTCAGATTCATTTAGAAAGAGATTAGAGCCTCAGGTTTCGCCCGTTAAATTAATACCGTCAATTAACCGGATAAGATGTTTCTGTGAAGCCCTTCGAGACGTCTCGAAGACACCATAGGGCGATCAATCGAACGCGAGGGTTATTATTGTTTCTTATTAAATTCACGGCTGTTTGTGGGACGTTGCCGTGTGCGTGCGTGCCTGCGTGCGTGCGCGTGTGTGTGTGTGTGCAATCGGCTGCCGCGTTTCGCCCACGAAATAGACAGTCAATCCACTTTGCAATATATGCTGTGAAGCGCTTCGAGAGACGTCTCAACGACACGATAAGGCGCTGTATTTAACGCAAGGATTATTATTAGATGTGTATCAGAAAGGATTATAATTTTATACAAAAGATGACTTTGCATTATCGTACTAGGTGTTAAGGGGATTGAGCGGTGAGCTTGAAATCTGCTTGGCTCAGTTGGTAGCACCTCCCTCTGGTCTCTGGTCAGAAGATTGTGGGGTTTGAAATCCTCATAGACTGGCTTGAACTGCTACTCCAGGCTGACAGTCCACAGCAGTGGGGAAAGGTAGTTGTGCTGTCCGTTGTGCCGTCTTTCGGACCAGACATCAAATTAATAATCCTATCCACCTGCTTCAGGTGAAAATTCCTGCACTGACATTTGGAATGAGAGCGACGAGTTCCTGCCTGGTAGCCTGGCTCACAACTCTCCCCAATTCTTGCTGCATTTGAGGGTGTTGCTGCTGCGTATGTTCGGCCAAGTCTGCCTGTAGAACAGTCACTGCACTTCAAAATTAACTCACCGTGTGAAGGGCTTTGAGACACCATTGGACACATGTGCTTCGGTACAGAAACGGGTATCAATATTTTTTCACCTGTCTTTTGTTTTGTTATATTCCACGTTACCGAGCACTGATTTTACATGTTAAGGCAAGTGTCCTGGCCAATAATTCCCCAAATAAAATTGGTCAACTCACTCCATGGCTGTGTGTGGGACATTGCTGCGTGCAATTGATTTAACCCACAAAATACAGTCCAGTATATCCTGTGAAGTGCTAGCTCCTTTGTGGATGTTTCAGAAGCACAGGTGCCCCTAATCGGCCAACGCTGCCCCGTGACTCCCTGTGACTCCCGTGCTGAAGCCTTCTGTGCTATTCTAGAACAGGGAGACCGGTGCTATGCCTGAGGCGGTCGCTATTCTAAAGCAATGATGCACCGCTGTTTCAGAACACGGGGAGCTTCCAGAATCTCGAGCGGGGGTTGTTCTGGAATATATGGTGTTACGCGCGTGTGTGTGTGTGGTGTTCTAGAACACACGTTGTTAGATTATTGTGGAATCTGGACACCGAAAACGATGGTTTGGTATCAGGGAGCAATACTGCCACTCGCTCACTTCATCCATCTGCCTGAGTGAAATAAGATTGATTTGCACGTCTCCATTTAACCCCCCATGCTGTGCTCACTATTCTAATAAACCCAATACCGTAATGATTGTTAATAGACATTCAGTGCCAGCCAGGAATGCCTGTGGCTTGCGGTAGGGGTTTGCTCTGTGCAGGGTTAACTGTGTTTGCTTTGCCATGAGTATATATGCTCATTATTGTTGAGCAATATGTAGATTAATCCACAGTTCCAGAGTTAAGGAGCTCGCTATTATAACCATAGCAACAGCACTCAGAGCTGCCGTAGATTAACCCTTCTATCTGAACAGGAATCACATCCGGATCCCAAAGGTGAAAGGGAACTCTTATTAACATCCCCCCACCCGCATTTCGAACAAAATCTGAGAACAAATTACATCTAATCTTAACACATGGGTTATTCTGCCTTAAAATTCAAGATCCCACAGAATTGTGGAAATTTATAATAATAATTACAATAATGCTTGCATTTGATACAGAGCCTTATCACATCTTCGAGGCGTCTCAAAGTGCTTCGCAGAATATACTGTAAAATGAATTGACTGTATATTTTGTGGCCAACATCTGTTAATAGTTAATATAACTTTAATTTATATTAATTTAAGTCAATTCACTTTACAGTATATTCTATGAAGCGCTTTGTGATGTCTCAACGATGTGATAAGGCGCTATATCAAATACAAGGATTATTATTATTATTGGACACTGGTTTTCCATGGCTTCCAAATTCACACCTGGATTTAATTTTGTACGATATGAAATTCTGAAGAGAAAATGGCTTTACAATGGTTAAAGCAGGTGGAGCTTCAGCCCTCTGCTCTTCAGGATAATCCCAAATCGGTGCCATCTGAGTCAGGCCTGGAACCTGTAGCCTCGGTTACGTCTAGATCCAGGATAATTTTGTCTTTGAAGGCCGCTCATTAAAACTAAATTGCTACAGCACGTTTATCGGTCAGCCTTTCAATCTAGTCCGAACGTAACAGGAAAGAATCGAGAATTTATCACGTCCAGAGGAACAGGAGGAAGGAATATTTCTCCTGACTTGTTATCAGATGCCCTTTTCATGAGACGATCGCTCTGCCTCTGGGTGTAACTGAGTGTGGATCAATCACCCCGAGTGTAAAACACGGGTAATTGTGGAATACACGTGTAGTCGTTTCTGCTGGGGATCAGGATGTCATATGCTCGGAATGGGAATGGTGTTCGGGAAATCCCTCTTATAATAATAATCCTTGCATTGGATCCCATCCGTGGGACACTGCTGTGCGCAATTGGCAGCTGTGTTTCACCCATAAAATACACTGTCAATCCACTTTACAATCTATTCTGTGAAGCGCTTTGAGACAATCTATTCTCAAAGCGCTTCACATGCAAGGATTATTATTATTATTGATATAGCCTTTGTTATGTTGAAAGGATGTCTCAAAGCGCTTCAGCGATTTACTGTGAAGTGCAGTGACTATGTATTTCGCAGCCCATTTGGAATTTGAGGTTGGGATCGGGGACAAACTGCAGACCATTTTATTCTTGTCTCTCCTTGCTTCGGGCTCATTGGGTGGGAGGCGCAGAGAGTTAGCTTTATTTTGTCACATTGAGAGTCGAGTGATGAATTCAGCCTCCGTTCAGTTACCAGAACTCCTTTGTTTCCATTTATACTTACCTCTCAGAGTATAGCAGACAATGATCTGGGTGTCAATACTGAACAGCCTGTAATTATACTCTGCGAATCCTATTGTACATGATCACATGTATTAACTTTGTAATGTATTTTTTCTTGGCCAATTTTTTCCTGTCCTCTCCCAAAGGGTCTGAGGCTTGGGACAGACTGATGGATCTTTGGGCCAAGTGGCTATTCTTCATGTGTGAGCCTGGAGACTGCAGGGAGTGGGGAGGAGACAACACAGTCAAGACCATATCTGACCATTCTTCCATCATTATATCGAGCTGTTTCTTCAATGAATTCAGCATCCTGCCTTCAACAGCCTGGTGGGATATTAGAGAAAAAACCACAACCGCCTTAGTTATGTTAAATAAATAAAGAGGTCACTCAATCCACGACTGTTTGTGGGACGCTGCTGTGCACAATCGGCTTCTGCGTTTCGCCCACAAAATATACAGTCAATTCATTTTACAGTATATTCTGTAAAGCGCTTTGAAACGTCTCAAAGACGTGATAAGGCGCTATATGAAATGTAAGGATTATTATTATTATTATTATTAGTTACGACCAATCTACTGGGCTTATAAAAAGGGTCCACACATTCTTGGTTGGTTGACGCTGTGAGTGTTTTTTGCACTGTATCTGTGAAGGAATCACAGATTCCACCAGGAGATATGGGACGGGCCCTCGGGGTCCAGACTTAAACAAATGGATAAAACAGGTCTCCCTTTGTCCCTGAAACTGTCTATGCTGTTGACATTCCAGTCAGGTATGATGCTCACTAATGATCCTCACACTTCTGGCACAGATGCATTTTATTTTGCATTTGGCCGCTAATGAATCTTTCTCTCCCAACAGCTGAGCCCATCTCCAGTCTCCCACCCAGCGCTCGGCCCGAGACTTGGGGGCCTCCGCCGCTGCCTTTAAACTCAGTTTGACAGGCTGACACCCACCGGAGAGTAACCCTTTCACCGCCAAACTTCCCTCCCTTCGCAGATTTCAGGGCCACTTACAGACTCTGCTTCGTAATGAAGACTCACCAACCAGCCAGCCAGCCAGCCAGCCAACTAACAGGAGCTAAAGGGGGATAACACCATCCGTTTTCTCCGTTTAGATAAGACTCAGACCCGGAGGACAGTCCTATGAAAAAAATTGTGATCTCTCAATCCACGGCTGTTTGTGGGACACTGCCGGGGGCAATTGGCTGCCATGTTTCGCCCACAAAAATACACTGTCAATCCACTTCACAGTATATCCTGTGAAAGTGCTTTGAGACGTCTCAATGATGTGATAAGACGTTGTATCAAATAGCGTCTTAACAAGAATTATTATTATTATTATTATTCTATCTCCTGGTATGATTCCTTGGTATATTTTCTGCCTTGGCATATTTGAAAGTAATGTTTTGGGTTCACTTTTTCAATTCCGTGCACATGTGGAACTCTCTTAATTATGGTGATGGGTTTCCCCTTGAGTCAGACACCCGGCTGATCACAATAACAATCTGTTTAGCAGCTTGTACACCTCGATAAGGTCCTCCCTGAGATATCTCTTTCCAAGGCTG